TCTCTCACTCTCTCACCCATCTCCGACGAAATCCGTCTCCATCTCCGGCGAAATCCGTCTATCTCCATCTCTCAGAGCCACCCTCACAATCAGAAATGGAAAATCAACCAAATCAACCAACGAGGGTTAGTTTTTTTAATTATTTTCTTTTTGAAATTTTTGCATTATTATTAGGTTTTTCATATTGAAATTGATGATAAGTTTACTGGTAATTTCAATAATAGATTAACCATTTCACTTAGATTGCTTATTAAATCAACCGAGAATCGTAGCGCGAAATGCAAATCGCAACGCGATTTTAGTTTCGCGTTGCGATAGTCAAATTCGCGTTGCGATAGTCATTTTCGTGTTGCGATTTTCATTTTCAGAAACTATTCTTCTTCTGCAAATTGAAACTTGAATGAATTGCATTACTTCAACCAAAAAACAAAGACAAATACGAAATTCACAGTGTTGCAAATTTAAGTTTGAAGAATAAACTACTACTCTTTATGTTTATTATTGTTTTTGGTATATCTTCACAGTGTAGTTTTTGGTATATCTAACTTAGTATGTTTATTGTTTTTGTAGAACTTTTATTCGGCTCAATTGACCTTAAGAAATAAAGTCAGCCTGGCCAAAACAATTGCGTCGAAGCTTTCACCTGCACAAAGAAAAATGTTTGAGGATACATGCTTCGGGCCATGGCTGAAAGTACAACATCCCGGTGGAGATGCGATGTTGACACACCTGTTTCTTCAAACCATGACTAGCGATCTACCAGAAACTATACAACGTCGTGATGAAGAGATATGGTTTGATTTTCCAGCGGCATATACGTGTTTTGGGCGGGAGGAGTTTTGCTTAATCACCGGTCTACGCTTCGGACACGATGATGTAGGTCGGTACACTAGACACATTACCCGCCCATCATGGCTATCCCGGGTTTATCTTGAGCTGGAGAGGCCGAATCTACACGTAGAAGACCTGACAAGATTGTTGAATAAGAAAGATGGTTTTACTCGGATGGATGACGTCGACGTTGTCCGAGTATGCCTTTTAATTCTTTTGCATGCCGGCTTTTTAGGCAGAGAGGCCAGACAACCTATTCCATATGATCTAATCAAATTGGTAGAAGACCTAAATGCGTGGAACTTGTTTCCGTGGGGCTCGTATTTATGGAAAGCTACATGGAATAAGTTATCGTCTGCCTTGGATGATCGAAAAAGTTTGCATGGCGATGGTTCCAAATACACTTTGACAGGCTTTATTTGGGCCTTTAAGGTAAGAATTTTTATATAATGTTTCCAAAATTATAAGTAATTATTTAACAATTACTAATGTTTGTTATTATATTGTTTGTAGATTTGGATATTTGAGGCCTTTCCCGCCATGAAGACATATGCAATAAAAACTTCAAATGATATTCCCAGGGCTATTTCCTGGAAGAGGAAACGGACCTTGCAATGGGAAGATTTACTACGGTATACGACAATAAATAATGTAAGTTAACATAAATACTACCATATATTTATAAACAAGTTATTACTAGTACACGTTTAACTTTGTTTGAGCTTTTATATTGTTAGGAGGCCAACACTCCTCTACAGAGGCTGACACCCACGGAAGCTGAGCTTGCCACTGATTGGTGGTAAGCTAGTAAGCGTTTTTTTTATGGAACGGTTGATGAGCAGCCTCCATTTCAGGAGCCATCACCTCGCCCAGAGCTATCACCTCACCCAGAGCCATCATCTGATCGACCCGACTATACACCTCCACAACGACAGCCATCACCTATTCTGTCACATCATCGAGCCTCTTCTCCACCATCACCGCAAGATAGGCGACCGGCAAAGATGCCACGACGTTTATCTCCCTGTTCTCCACCTCAACGGGATGAGTTAGGGGAGTTACGTGATGAGGTCAATGCCTTGCGTGAGGAGGTCGGTACTTTACGCAAAGACGATGGTGCATGGCGTGTTGAGGTGTCTACATTACGCGGTGATGTAGCCGCTCTACGTGAGATGGTAGCATCGTTGCAGAATGAGGTTCATACTCTACGCAACGAGGTAAGTTTAAGATTTTTCATACTCGTAATTCATTCGATTGCTGCCAATACTGCTAAACTATTTTTGTTAGTATTTGTTTTTGGTTTTGTTTTTGTCTTTTCGTTGAAGTAATGCAATCCATTCAAGTTTCAATTTGCATAAGAAAAATAGTTTACTTTCGCAACACGAAAATGACTATCGCAACGCGGAAATGGCTATTGCAATGGAAATGAAAATCGCAACGACAAAATCGCAACGACAAAATCGCAACGCGAAATGAAAATCGCAATGCGATTTGTGTTTCGCGTTGCGATTTTGTCGTTGCGATTTCATTTCGCATTGCGATTTTGCCGTTGCGATTTTCATTTCGCATTGCGATTTTGTCGTTGCGATTTTCATTTCGCATTGCGATAGCCATTTCCGCGTTGCGATAGTCATTTTCGCGTTGCGATTTTAAGTTTCGTGCTGCGAAAGTAAACTATTCTTCTTCTGGAATGTTTATATATGTTGTCCTTTTAAATGTTTATATAAGTGCTTACTTCTGGAATGTTATCTGAGCATTTTGTGAACTATGATAGAATAATGACTTGGGTGAATACAATGCTAGTTTGAAACATATTTGTCTTTGTTTAATATCATGTCTGTTTATTTACTGATTTATGTATTAATTTTTTTTAGCGACCCGATAAGGTGGATGCTTTACGTCGGGTTTTCCTTGCACGACGGAGTTCACGCATCAGACGGCGTGGACGTGCTATTACGTCTCCGTTCACCCCAATGGTGCGAAGACTCCGCAAGAAGAAGCCCGACTCACCTGTCATCCCTCAAGAGTCCCTTCTAATCGTTCAAGAGGCCCCTATCCTCCCTCAAGAGTCCCCCCCGACCGTTCAAGAGGCCACTGTCATCGTTGAAGAGGTCCCTCCCACCATTCCAGAGCCCGATTCACATGGGGTAATATATCGAAGTATTGAGAAACCCCCACCGATTCCGGACATGATGGATGAGAGTTGGCTCTCGTATGAGTTACCGGCTAGTACCCTTCCGATATCTGAAGTGGAGAGGAGACAACTACCAGAAACAATTGTGGATAATACCCTTTGGGCTAAGACCGCAGTTGATTTTTATCTACATGAGCGGAGCCAAGGGTGTTACACTGACATAAGCAAACTCAACGATGAAATGTTTTTGTTGCTTGATCGGTCTTGGTGGGGTGTGCTATTAGGGGTTGAAGACAGTGGCTATTTCGATGGGGAGGTAAGTATTATATTTGTCTTATATATGATTTTGATTAATTTTTTTAAAAATTAATGTAATTCACTAATATATGTATTTTTTTGTAAAACAGCATATCGATGCGTGGGTGTCACGTCTACTAATAATAAGGAAGCTTAGGAAAAATAAAAAAAAATTGCGATATACAATAATGCCGGCGGCTTTTCACGCAGTTCACTTGAAGAATCAACGAGATGAATCATTTTCGTTGGGCAACGGACAAGCTAAACTTTATCCTGCATGGTGGGAGGTCGATACGGTTAGTGTTTATTTTTTAAATTTTTTAAAGGTGTTCATAAATAAGTGCGCAAATAAATGAATTATTACTTATGATTACAGGTGTTTATCCCTATTTTAGAACGTCGTCATTGGCTTCTCGTCCAATTTCAGCTCCCATCCCTGAAGATAATAGTGTATGACAGCATGATAAATTACATATCACTGTCTGATTTGAGAGATATGATCAAGAGATGGAGCTCTCATTTGGCTAAATTCTTGGATGTGATTAATTATTGGACTCATTCTGGACACAAGAAGCCAAAGAAGTTCAATGTCACAGTTGTCAGAGACGAGACCGCGCCACAACAATCGCCGGGAGCCAGAGGGGATTGTGGTCCTCTCGTATGCTTGTGCTTGGCGCGTTTGACGACGGGAATCACAGAGTTTCTACCTCCCACCGATAGAGATAGAGCTACAGTAGGCTTGTGGTTTCGGCATTATATGGCTAGAACAATATATTCGAGACGCTGCCTACCTGCATCCGCCTTATGAAAGTGTCCATTGTTAATTGGTAAGTCAAATGCAAGTTTTGTTAACATATATACTCCTTTTGGTTTGAAAATCTTTGGTTAAGTACCTAGAATTCAATAATTTACTGTTTGTAGGTTTTAGATGTGTAGGAAGTCTTGTTTGAGCAAATGTTTGGTTTCTGCAGGTTAATCCTTAAGTGAGCTGCGTGAAATGGATGTACGGGCTCACAAAGTTGTTGATTCATTGATTCAATTATTTATGAAGAAATAAGAATTATTATTATTTTTTGATTGTTTAATTGATTTATAAAAGATGATTTGTAAATGTTGATTTGTTTAATTGATGTGTACATAATTCTTATTTGTGCTTGTTTAATTGATTGGAATGTAATAGTTGATTTGTTGATTTTCAATATGCATTATGTTGAAGGTAAAACAGACTATCGCAACACGAAACTAACTATCGCAACGATAGTCAGTTTCGCATTGCGATTTTTCATTTCGAATTGCGATAGCCAGTTTCGCGTTGCGATAGCCATTTTCGCATTGCGATTTCCCCGTTGCGATAGTCAAATGAATGTCTAATAAGTGATAACAACTGAACAGATCATAGCAATGTTCAAACTCAAGTTACTAATACATGCCTAACTGAAAATGTTAAAAGTGCACACATAAAATACACATAATACAACGTTTCCATTTAAAAATCACCTAAGTTAACAGTCCCAAAAGGTGAAGCCGGTTGTGATTGGGATTTTGAAGATAATTGCGATTTTCAGAATCTCGTTGCGAAAGTCAGAATCTCGTTGCGATAGTCAGTATCGCATTGCGATTTTCCAAATTCGCATTGCGAATTAGGAAAATCGCAACGCGATACTTACTTTCGCAACGAGATAATACAGAATCGCAATGCGATTTTCAAAGTTCGCAATAGGTTTTAGTTTCGCAACACAAATTTTTTGTGTATATATCTACGCAGAAGCAACAACTCATAACCTAAATCGCAACTCATTCCATCTCCATCTATCACTCTCTCCGGCGACATCCGTTTCTATATCCGTTCCTACATCCTTCCCCATCCGACAACAGGTCTTAGTTTCGCAGCTCGTTTGTTTAGTAAATTAATTTACAACCATGAAATCATCTAATGTTGATCATGTTTGGATAGATTTGTGTTTTGGAGGGTCATGGGAGAATGTTCATGGTGTTTTACAATATATGCCTTTACCCATGAATCTTCAACTAAAACTGTCATTAAAAAAGTTAACTTATGAAACTCTAATGTTACGTGTTTCAAAGAAATTGAATTTAGAGCCCCTAAGTGGATTTAGGCTATCTTATCAGAGGAATGATAAAGTTTATTTGTTAACCGACAATGAAGATGTTGAACGATTCATTGCTTACATTAGTGTTTCAAGTGATGATGTTACATTGTATGTTGTTGAACCTAGAAGTAGTATTGTTGGGTCAGTAGCGGGTAGTAATCAACTAAGTTTTTCTCAAAACCCACAACCTTTCTCTAATCCAAATCCCAATCAACTTTCAGCACCAAATTCCGGTTTTCGTATTGACCAATTAGACGATGATGAGCCAAGAGAAAAAATTGTGAGTACTAGTCAGTATTCGAAATTTGATCTTGGTCAATACCCGGACTTTGATATTGGTCAATACTCGAATTTTGATGATGTTTCAAAAGAAGAAACAGACCCTGTGTGTAATGATTTTGATATTGGTCAATACCCGAATTTTGATGATGAAACAACCGTTGCCGATGAAGATGTTGTTGATGATAATGAGGAGGAAGTGGAGGCTGTGAATGAACATGTTGAACATCCATTCTGTAATTCATATAATCCTGAAGAAGAAAAAGAAGAAGAAAAAGTCCCCGAAGAAAAGAAAATGCCAAGGGAGTATAACTGGAATATGCCAGAATTACTTCAGATACCGGAAGAAGAGTTGGTAAAGAAAGTAGTTGATTGTTACACAAAAGTTATTCGTATCAAGAAAGATGATTGTTTTGATACAAATGAAGACTTGAAGATAGCTTTGTCGGGTTTGAAAGATGGTCAAGAGTACATCAACTTGGAGCAAGATATGGTTTCATGACGTCTAATAGTGCAGAATCAATCAACGCTCTAAGTCGTCATTCCCGGAAATTACCCATTACTATGTTAATGGAGTTTTTTCGAGCCTCTATTCAACAGTGGTACTACAAGAAAAGAAACCATGCAAGTATTATTTCTTTGAATTCGTAACTTATCATATATTTTACTAAGTATTATTTATTTAAATTTACAGGAACATTGGAACATCGTGTTACACCATGGACTGAAAAAAAGATAACGAAACGTGTTGTGAAGTCAACGTCATGGAGAGTTGAACCATGTTCAAACACTTTGTTTGAAGTACTGGATAATAACTTAAATGGGCTTGTCGATCTAAATGCAAGGACGTGTAGTTGTATGAAATGGCAAACATCTGGTTATCCGTGTGGCCATGTTATAAAAGTTGCTCTTCATCTAAACCAAGATGATTCAAGCACATACGCTATGGATTGCTACACTATAGAAGTATATCGACAGACTTATGCCGAGATTGTCTACCCTATTCCACATCCTTCTGAGTGTGACATACCAGATGACTTACAAACAGTTTTGCCACCAGCCATGGACAGAAGGCTACCTGGCCGACCAAAAAGTCACGATCGTATACCGTCTAAGGGTGAAGAGAAGAAGAGATCGACATGTAGTCGGTGTAAGGAAAGTGGTCATACAAGGTTGACATGTAGATCACCAGTGCCATCACAATCATCTTTTCCTCTACCAAAATATGGATCATCATCAAAATCCAAAGCTCATATGGTGTCAAGAAAAAGGCAATCAAAATCGCAATCATCTTTAAAATCCCAATCACAACTTGCTTCACCTTTTGGGACTGTTAACTTAGGTGATTTTTAAATGCAAACGTTGTATTATGTAGATTTTATGTGCGAACTTTTAACATTTTCAGTTAGGCATATATTAGTAACTTGAGTTTGAAAATTACTATGATATGTTCAGTTGTTATCACTTAATAGGCAATCATCTTAATGTCTATCGCAACGCGGAAATTACTATCGCAATGCGAAATGAAAATCGCAACGAGAGAATCGCAATGCGAAATGAAAATCGCAACGCTAATTTTGTAATGCGAAATGAAAATCGCAACGAGGGAATCGCAATGCGAAATTAAAATCGCAACGCGAATTTAATTTCGCGTTGCGATTCTCTCGTTGCGATTTTTATTTCGCGTTGCGATTCTCTCGTTGCGATTTTCATTTCGCGTTGCGATTTTCATTTCGCATTGCGATAGTACTTTTTGCCTTCAACATAATGCAGATTGAAATCAACAAAATCAACCATTACATTTCAATCAATTAAACAAGCACAAATAAGAATTATGTTAACATCAATTAAACAAATCAACTTTTACAAATCACCTTTTACAAATCAATTAAACAATAAAAAAATAAGCAATAATTCTTAGAGAAAATAATATTTCTACTATTGAATCAACTTTTGCAGCCATACATCATTTTCACGCAGCTCACTTTTGAGATTAACCTGCATAAACCAAACATTTGCTCAAACAACACTTTCTACACATCTAAAACCTACAAACAGCAAATTATTGAATTCTAGGTACTTAACCAAACATTTTCAAACCACAAGCCTATAAACATACCAATTGTTTATGGACATTTTTATAACGCGGATGTAGGTAGGCAGCGTCTCGTATATATCGATCTAGCCATATAATGTTGAAACCACAAGCCTACTGCAGCTCTATCTATATCAGTGGGAGGTAGATACTTTATACTTCCTGTGATCAAACGGTCCAACGCCAAGCATACGAGAGGACCACAATCCCCTCTGGGTCCTTTCGTTTGTTGTGGTGCGGTCTCGTCTCTGCTAACTGTAATATTGAGCTTCTTTGGCTTCTTGTTTCCAGAACGAGTCCAATAATTTATCGCATCCAAGAATTTAGCCAAATAAGAGCTCCATCCCTTAATAATATCTCTTAAATCAGCCAATGATATGTAATTTATCATGATTTCATATACTATTGCCTTAAGGGATGGGATCTGAAGCTCGACGAGAAGCCAATGGTTACGTTCCAAAACAGGGATAAACACCTGCAATCATAAGTAATAATTCATTCATTTGCGCACTTATTTATGAATACCTTTAAACTCAATCTAAAATAAACACTAACCTTATCGACCTCCCACCATGCAAGATAAAGTTTAGCTTGTCCATTGCCCAACGCAAATGGTTCATCTCGTTGATTCTTCAAGTGAACGACGTTAAAAGACGTCGGCATAATTGTATATCGTGTATTTCTTTTATTTTCCTTAAGTTTCATAATTATTAGAAGACGTGACACCCACGCATCGATATGTTGTTTTACAAAAAAAGACATATATTAGTAACTTACATAAATTTACAAAAAAAATAATCAAATTAAAATATAAGAAAAATATAAGACTTACCCCTCCATCGAAATAGCCATTGTCTTCGACCCCTAATAATACGCCCCACCAAGACCGATCAAGCAACAAATAGATATCATCGTTGAGCTTGCATATGTCAGTGAAACACCCATGACTTCGCTCATGTAGATAAAAATCAACTGCGGTCTTAGCCCAAAGGGTGTTATCTAGAATTGTGTCCGGTAGTTATTTCCTCTCCACTTCAGATACCGGTATGGTACTGGCCGGTAACTCATACGAGAGCCAACTTGAATCCATCATGTCCGGCACGTCAGAGGGTTTCTCAAGAATCCTACATATGACGCCATGTGAATCGGGCTCTTGAATGGTGGGAGGGACCTCTTCAACGATGACAGTGGCCTCTTGAACGGTAGGAGGGGACTCTCGAGGAATGATAGGGGCCTCTTCAACGATAGGAGTGGACTCTTGAGGGATGACAGGCGAGTCGGGCTTCTTCTTGCGGTGTCTCGCACTATTGGGGTATACGAAGACTTAATAGCACGTGCACGCCGTCTGATGCGTGAACTCTGTCGTGCAAGAAAAACCCGACGTAAAGCATCCACCTTATCGGTCCGCTAAATTATTAAATACAAATATCAGTAAATAAACAGACATGATATATAAACAGTGAAAACAAAGACAAATATATTTCAAACTTTCAACCAAAAGACAAAACAAAGACAAATACTAACTTCACAGTGTTAAAGAATACACAGTTTAGCAAAATTGGCAGCAACCGAATAAATTTACTTCAACCAAAAGACAAAACAAAAAGACAAATACTAACTTCACAGTGTTAATAAACAGTTTAGCAGTATTGGCAGCAACCGAATAAATTTACTAAGCAATCTAAGTGAAATGGTTAAATTAAGTGAAATTACGAGTAAATTTATCATCAAGTTAAATATGGAAAATCTTAAACTTACCTCGTTGCGTATAGTATGAACCTCATTCTGCAACGATACTACCATCTCACGTAGAGCGGCAACCTCACCACGTAAAGTAGACACCTCCACACGCCATGCACCATCGTTATCGCGTAGAGTACCGATCTCCTCACGCAAGGCATTGACCTCATCACGTAACTCCCTTGACTTATCCCGTGGAGGTGGAGAACAGGGAGATAGAAGTCGTGGCATCTTTGCCGGTCGCCTATCATGAGGTGATGGTGGAGAAGAGGCTCAATGATGTGACGGGATAGGTGATGGCTCTCGTTGTAGAGGTGTATAGTCGGGTCGATCAGGTGATGGCTCTGGGTGAGGTGATGGCTCTCGAAGTGGAGGAAGTGGAGGCTGCTCATCATTCGTGCCATCAAGAAAACGCTGACTAGCTTGCCACCAATCAGTGGCAAGCTCAGCCTCCGTGGGTGTCAGTCTCATTAATGGAATGTTGGCCTCCTAAAAATATAAAAACTCAAACAAAGTTAAACGTCTAC